GTGAGGAGGCTGGGTTCTGGAGGCGGAGGGTTCGGGAGGGTCTGGCCGTTTCGGGAGCGGGGTGGGGTGTTTGGGTGGGGGGTAGGGTTCGGAGGTCGGGGCGGTTCTGTAGCCGGGTGGAGTGTTGGAGGCGGAGGCGTTCGGGAGTCTGGGGGTTCGGGAGGCGGTGCGGGTGCTTGGGTGGGTAGGGGTTCGGGAGTGTCTGGGGTTTCGGGAGCGAAGGTGGGGGGTTGTGGTGGCGGTAGGGTTCGGAGGTCTGGGGCGTTCGGAGGCGGGGGCGTTGGGTTTAGGTGGCGGGGTAGGGGTTGCGGAGCGTCTGGGGGTCGGGAGGGGTGGGGTGCTTGGTGGCGGGCAGGGGTTCGGCGAGGTCTCGGGTTCGGAGCGGCCCGGTGGGGGTGTTTGGTGTGCGGGTAGGGTTCGGGAGGGGTCTGGGGTTCGGCGCAGGCGGGGTGGGTGTTGGTGCGGGTAGGTTTCGGAGGTCTGGGGCCGGTTCGGGAGGCGCGGGTGGTGTTTGGGTGGCGGGGTAGGGGTTCGGGATCTGGGGTTCGAGGCGGGTTGGGGTGCTTGGGTGCGGGTAGGTTCGGAGGTCTGGGGGCGGTTCGGGAGGCGGGGTGGGGGTGTTTGGGTTGGCGGGTAGGGGTTCGGGAGGCTCTGGGGGGGTTCAAAAGGCAGGGTGGGGTGTTTGGGTGGCGGGTACGGGGGTTCGGGCGTGGTCTGGGGGGTTCAGGTGGGGGACGGTTCGAGAGTGCGGTGGGGTTCGGAAGGTCTGGGAGTTTGGCTGGCGGGGCAGTTCGGAGAGCGGGGTGGGCGTCGTTGGGGGGTGGAGTAGGGGTTGCGGAGGCGGGGGTGGGGGTTTTGGGTGGCGGGCGGTTTGGGAGCGGGGTGGGGGTTTTGGTGGCGGGGTAGGGTTCGGAGGTTCGGGTGGCGGGCGGGGGGGTTGGGTGGGGCGCGTAACGGGTTCCGGGAGGTCCTGGGGGGTTCGGGAGGCGGGGTGGGGGGTGTTGTGGTGGTGGAGACGGTTCGAGAGGCGGGGGATGGGGTTCGGGAGGTCTGAGGGGTTCAGGTGGCGGGACAGTTCGAGAGGCGGGATGGGGGTTCGGGAGGTCTGAGGGTTCGGTGTGCGGGCCCCGCCCGGACGGCCCGCGAGCTCTGTCTTTGCCGGCAGCTCCCACATCCGCCATGCCTGGGACCACGGCAAGTCGGTGCGGCAGAACCTGGCCGAGATGGGGTTGGCTGTGGATCGCCAACAGAAGCGCTGCCCCTCCGGAAGAGAAAGGTACCGACAGCGCAAGGTCCCTGCCCTTGTCCTTCTTCCCTCGTCACCTTACCTGGGATTCAGGACTCGATGCTGCCCGTTTACCTGCCTCAGGCTTCTTCCTGGTTTGCGCCTCCTGGACGTCAACCTGCACTGACCGTGGTCAAGCGTCCCTTTACAGCCTTCCTCACACTCCCTCCCCGCACACGTTTGCATGTGGACTGGAGCTTCCCCTCCCTTTCCTTTACTCAGTCTTTTTCCTCTGAAATTAATCTGTTTCGGCCCCTTGCCATCTCAATGGCATTTTCCAGAATTTATTTTTTTCTGCTCTTTCCTAATGAATGACTCCCTGGGGTTTGGGCTCTTTACTTACTGTTTCTTTACACCTTCCCCCAGTCATTCAGGCGTCTTGAGTCCGAGCCATCCCTGGGACTGTTTCTCTTATTCAAGTTTTTTGTCTGGATGACCCTTTCAAGTTTTCAAAAATTAGGCAGGGCACTTTGGGAGCCGAGGTGGGGGATTGCTTGAGCCCTGGAGTTGGAGACCAACCTGAGAAGAGTGAGGCCTGTGTGCACAAAATATGGAAAAATTAGCCGGGCATGGTGGCGACATGGCTGTAGTCCCAGGTACTCGGGAGACTGAGGCAGGAGGATCGCTTGAGCCAGGAGTTCCAGGCCGCACTGAACTATGGTGAGGCCACTGTCCTCCAGCCTGGGCAAGACCCAGAGTGAGACCCTGTCTCAAAAAACCCCAAACAAACAAAACTTTATAAACAAATTGCAATCCTTCACTCAGTAACCTCTTACCTGCCTTTATTTGAATCGATCGTAGCATTTCGTACAGTAACATAATGGTGATATATTTATTTGCTTATCGTATTTCTGTGCTCTTCTTGCCCCAACATAACCTTCTTGGTGACAAGGACTTTGTGGTTTTTTTTCTTTTTTGGAGAAGAAAGTCTCACTTTGTTCCCCCAGGCTAGGAGTGAGTGCCGTGCGTCAGCCTAGCGTCACAGCAACCCTCAACTCCTGGGCTCAAGCAATCCTGGGCTGCCTCAGCCTCCGAGTAGCTGGGACTAATGGCACGTGCCACTCATGCCCGGCTAATTTTTTCTATATATATATATTAGTTGGCCAGTTATTTCCTTTCTATTTTTTTAGTAAGATGACGCGGGTCCGTCTCCAGGCGCTGGTTTCGATCTCCACTGACCTTGAGCAATCCACCCGCCTTGGCCTCCCAGAGTGCTAGATTACAGGCGTGAGCCCACCGCGCCCGGCGACTTTGTGTTTTTTCTCCTAACTAAATCTCCCGGGTGCGTTAAGGATGTGACATGTGCTCAATAAATAACTTAAACCTAATAAATGCGCTTGCTGAATGAATTCTGTTCTGTTGCCTAAGTTTCTTTTAATCCCCTTCCGTGCCAGAGGAAAATGGTACTCCTACCTTTTTTTTTTTTTTGAGACAGAGTCTGCTTTGTTGCCAGGCTAGAGTGAGTGCCGTGCGTCAGCCTAGCTCACAGCAACCTCAAACTCCTGGCTCGAGCGATCTTCTGCTCACCCTCCCGTCAGCTGGCGGACTCACAGGCATGCGCCACCATGCCCGGGCTTAATTTTGTCTATATATACTATTGGCCAATTAATTTCTTTCTATTTATAGTAGAGACGGGGTCTCGCTCTTGCTCAGGCTGTCTTCAACTCCTGACCTGACAATCCGCCTCTGCCTTCCCCAGAGCTAGGATTACAGGCGGAGCCACAGCGCCGCCTACTTTCTTGAATAAATGTGAAGCTACAGCCAAATGTTGTCAGTAGCTCCTCCCCTAGGAAGATATTCTGATATTTCTCCCCCTCATTGTAAATTATAAAGTTCTTCATGTGCATTGTTTCTTCACTCAGTTATCAACAGAACTAATGTGAGGAAGGGAGGGAGTGTTAAACCATTTGTAGACAGGCAAAGAAAAGAATAAATTGCTTGTGTTTCTTTGGAACATGGGTTCTAGTGTTGAAGCCTCCAGGCCATTCGTCTCCTTGTTACCTCTTCTGCCTGACCTTGGTGGATTCTTATGGGTAATTATCGTATTAGGATGAGAGGCGTCTAGAACTTTCCCTCATCAAAGATCCTCCCTTTGTCTACTGGTCTTCATGGGCTCTTTCTTCGCAGGTGAAGCATGGAGGTGGGATCTAGAGGAGAGGCCTAAGCGAGCTTGTGGGAAGCCCTATGGCTGACGGTGGGTACAGGCCGTGCCTTCAGGTCCCATCCTGCTGTGTCGGAGCTGGAAAGGCCCTCAGATGTCCTCACCTTGCGGATGGGAAACCAACGTTCAGAGGGAGAAGGAGCTGGTTCAAGGGTTTCACAAAGTTAAGGACTGTGTCCCCAGCTGGGACATTTTCAGTTCTACTGACCAAATCAAGTATGTGAACTAAGGTCAGAGATGTTGAAGGCGAGGGTGTATCCAGGTGCCTGAGAGACAGAAAAAAAACCATTAGTCTCAAGCATGTGATTTTTAGAGATTCTACCATCTTCATTAAATGTCTCTAACAAGTCAATTTCATGTCTATTAAGGCTATAGATGCTGAATATTAAAACAGAAAGAGAGTAAACACTGAAGGAACAGTAGGATACTCTAGAGTCCTTTACCTGTCCTTCCCTTTAGCTGTCAGGAGTTTTTTTTTTTTTGGAGAAAGTCTCCACCTCTGTTGCCAGGCTAGAGTGGAGTGCGTGGCCGTCAGCCTAGCTCACAGCAACCTCAATCTCCAGGGCTCAAGCAATCCTCCTGCCTTCCAGCCTCCCCGAGTAGCTCGGGAACAGCATGCGCCACCATGCCCAGCTAATTTTCAATATAATTAGTTGGCCAATTTAATTTATTTATAGTAGAGACGCGTCTCGCTCTTGCATAGGCTGGTTTCGAACTCCTATGGCTCAAGCAATCTGCCGCTCGGGCCTTCCCAGAGTCTAGGATGACAGGCGTGAGCCACCGTGCCCGCGCCAGGGAGTTTAAGAGCCCTCCTGGAAAGTTTTTTTTAAAGGATATGAATGGCCAGATTATCAGATACAGAATTCCTTTGAGTTCCTGTCTTTAATTATCTCATGGTTAAGAATCGTTTAGATAGGATTGTCTATATACAAACCTATGTGTACTATTGTATTTCACAGACAACATCTTCGATTTTCAAATTGTTATTTATTTATATATTCATTTTGAGACAGAGCTCGCTTTGTTTGCCAGGCTAGAAGTGAGTGCCGTGGCGTCAGCCTAGCTCACAGCAGCCTCAAACTTCTGGGCTCAGCAGCGATTCCACCTGCCTCGGGCCTCCCAGATGCTTTAGGATTATAGGCGTGAGCCACCATGCCCGGCTGTAAGCTATTTAAAAGCGAAGCCTATGACTCCTGGATTTTCCTCACCTGGAGCACTGAGGGCTGGCCGGCTTCAGTCCCTTGTCGTCTGCATCTTTAGAGTCCACTTATTCAGACCTTTCCATATCATGTATGCATTTAATTCATTTCAATAACTGAGGTTCTCTGAGAGTCCGATACTGGGAAGGGAGCCAAGCCGCCATGGAAGGTAAATCTCTCTTCATGATCTCTCTCTCACTACCTCACACTAATTAGAAGTTTTTAATTTGGTGCGTTCCTTGAAAACTCACTTGCCAGAGAGAAGTTGACTTGCCTTTCAGGCAGTTGCCGTGCTGCAGATGATCATCATGGGAGGCAGAGCATGGGATCTTGAGGGCTGGAAGAATAACGGTTCTGGCAATGAATCTGGGGGTGGAGGAGGCAAAAAAGACTGTCAGATGGTGGTGTAGTGCGTCTACGGCCAGGAGTGGTGGTGGGGTGGTTGACAGCTCACACAGTGCCAGAGGACCCAAAGCCTTACTCCTTGTCTTCCAACTTCTCTCCCCCAGACCTGGAGGCAGAACCAGCTTCAGAAAAGAAAGGAAATACCCGTCCGGACCTTATTGAACTACGTACGTTAACAGGTGGAGAACCACGGGAGACTACAAGGTGAGTCGGCTCAGGCCTGGCAGGAGAACCACTGGTGGCTGGATGGGCGCCCTGGACCATGTGTGGTGATCTTGCCTAGCTGCCTCCTGAAATGAGTGAAAAAGGGAGAAAAAGGACTCTAGGGAGTGGTCCTGTAGCAGGCATCTAATGTAACAGAGGCTTGCAGGCAGGACAAGACTGAATGGTTCTGTTCTATCCCCACTCACAGATTAAAGTGTATGCTCCATGGTATTTCAAAGAACTTGACTAGTTGCGATGTTAATTATGGGAAGTTCAAATAAATTCTGTATTTTTGCTGCTTTTTAAGAATTGAAAAGCTCTAGGCTGGGGCACAGTGGCTCACGCCTATAATCTTGCACTCTGGGAGCTGAGGTGGGAGGACGCTCAAGACCAGGAGTTGAAACCAGCCTGAGCAAGAGCAAGAACCCCCCTCCCGTCTTTACTAAAAATAGAAATAAATTAGCTGGGCATGGTGGGTGCATGCCTGTAGTCCCAGCTACTTGAAGCTGAGGCAGGACGATTGCTTGAGCAAGGAGTTGAGGTTGCTGTGAGTTAGGCTGACGCCACGCACTCTAGCCCGTGCAACAGAATGGGACTCTGTCTCAAAAAAAAAAAAATTGAAGCTCTGGCCACACAAGCCCAGGTGATATTAGTTGGCTGGGGATGGGGCATGGGTCTCAGCTGGCCCCGCTCCTGCCCTGGGCCCTGGACTTCTCAGGCCTGCCTGGTGCCTAAGTGTAAAGGGCCCACATACACTGTGGCTTTGAGTGAGGAATCTAGACCTCAGGGATAAGTGGTTTGCCCAGTTCAAGCAACAGTAGATTATTTGAACTTTGCCCTTGTAGCCCTCTTCAATTAGCCTTCTCCTTCTTAGGGCCATGGCCCGAGACGAAAAGAATTATTATCAAGATACCCCGAAAAGATTCGAATAAGATCAACGTCTATAACGTTACCGCGGGAGTGCAAGCCTTCGTGATTCTTTGCAGAAGAATAAGATGGGAGTTGACTGACTGGTTTGCATCGCACCTGCCCGGGCAGAGCCTCCCCTGCTGGACACGTGAAGACGGAGCGGGGCAAAGCAAGGCCTGTGTACCTCAGGGGCTGGAGACCCGATGGAATCAGAAGTCACACATGCACTTGCACCTCACACACGTGCCCTCTGGAAGCGGACTGTCTCTGCGGTTCCAATTATATTCAGTAGGTCACGGAAAGCCAGAACCTGCCGTTTTCAGAGTGGTAGTTCATTTGAATATCGTCTGTACATAATAAATCAAACGCTCTCTCGCTCGCACGCGTCCTCACCTATTTTTCTCCTCCAGCCGGTCCTGGGGCTGCCCCAGTAAACCTCCCCACCAGGCTGAGAGGCCATCCAGCCCGCAGCATGTGGTGCACTCACGGCCCTGGAGGCAAGCCGTTGCTGTCTTCTGGATGTTCCCTGCCTGTTGCTTCCTGCAAACAGCGGTTCCATTAACTCTGCGAAGCTTCCGATTACCCTGGGCTGCTGGAAGGGGAATCTGCTTGCCTGTGCCAGTCCCGCCCCTGGGCCGAGGCCAGCTGGGCTGCCTGGCAGAGGGTGAGAGCAGGAACTCCTGCTATCTCCATGCCTGGGACCACGGCAAGTCGGTGCGGCAGAACCTGGCCGAGATGGGGTTGGCTGTGGATCCCAACAGAGCGCTGCCCCTCCGGAAGAGAAAGGTACCGACAGCGCAAGGTCCCTGCCCTTGTCCTCTTCCCTCGTCACCTTTACCTGGGATTCAGGACTCGATGCTGCCTGTTACCTGCCTCAGGCTCTTCCTGGGTTTGGCCTCCTGGCAGTCAACCTGCACTGACCGTGGTCAAGCGTCCCTTTACAGCCTTCCTCACACTCCCTCCCCCGCACACGTTTGCATGTGGACTGGAGCTTCCCCTCCTTTCCTTTACTCAGTCTTTTTCCTCTGAAATTAACCTGTTTGGGCCCCTTGGCATCTCAATGGCATTTTCCAGAATTTATTTTTTTCTGCTCTTAACTTTCCTAACGAATGCTCCCTGGGGTTTGGGCTCTTTACTTACTGTTTCTTACACCTTCCCCCAGTCATTCAGGCGTTCTTGGTCCGAGCCATCCCTGGGACTAGTTTCTCTTATTCAAGTTTTTGTCTGGATGACCCTTTCAAGTTTTCAAAAATTAGGCAGGGCACTTTGGGAGGCCGAGGTGGGAGGATTGCTTGAGCCCTGGAGTTGGAGACCAACCTGAGAAGAGTGAGGCCTGTGTGCACAAAATACGGAAAAATTAGCCGGCCATGGTGGCGCATGCCTGTAGTCCCAGCTACTTGGGAGACTGAGGCAGGAGGATCGCTTGAGCCCAGGAGTTCCAGGCCGCAGTGAACTATGGTGAGGCCACTGTCCTCCAGCCTGGGCAAGACCCAGAGTGAGACCCTGTCTCAAAAAAAAAACAAAAAAACCCCAAACAAACAAAACTTTTAAAAAATTGCATCCTTCACTCAGTAACCTCTTACCTGCTTTATTTGAATTTGTAGCATTTGTAAGTACATAATGGTATATATTTATTTGCTTATCTATTTTCTGTGCTTCTTGCCCCCAACATAACCTTCTTGGTGACAAGGACTTTGTGGTTTTTTTTTTTTTTTGGAGACAGAGTCTCACTTTGTTGCCTAGGCTAGAGTGAGTGCCGTGGCGTCAGCCTAGCTCACAGCAACCTCAATCTCCTGGGCTCAAGCAATCCTCCTGCCTCAGCCTCCTGAGTAGCTGGGACTACAGGCATGCACCACCATGCCTGGCTAATTTTTTCTATATATATATATATATATGTTAGTTGGCTAGTTAATTTCTTTCTATTTTTTAGTAGAGATGGGGTCTCGCTCAGGCTGGTTTCGAACTCCTGACCTTGAGCAATCCACTCGCCTTGGCCTCCCAGAGTGCTAGGATTACAGGCATGAGCCACCGCGCCCGGCGACTTTGTGTTTTGTTCTCTACTAAATCCCCAGGGTGCTTAGGATGTGACATGTGCTCAATAAATAATTAACCTAATAAATAGGCTTGCTGAATGAATTTGTCCTGTTGCCTAAGTTTCTTTTTATCCCTTCGTGCCAGAGGAAAATGGTACTACTATTTCTTGAATAAATGTGAAGCTACAGCCAAATGTTGTTAGGTAGCTCCTCCCCTAGAGAAGATATCTGATATCTCCCCCTCATTGTAAATTATAAAGTTCTTTCATGTGCATTGTTTCACTCAGTTATCACAGAACTAAGTGAGGAAGGGAGGGAGTGTTATACCCATTTTGTAGACAGGCAAAGAAAAGATAAATTGCTTGTGTTTCTTTTGGGAAACATGGGTTCTAGTTGTTGAAGCCTCCAGGCCATTTGTTCTCCTTGTTACCTATTCTGCCTGACCTTGGGTGGGATTCTTATGGGTAATGTAGTCGTATTAGGATGAGCAGGCGTCTAGAACTTTCCCTCATCAAAGATCCTCCCTTTGTCTACTGGTCTCATGGGCTCTTTTCTTCGCAGGTGAAGGCCATGGAGGTGGATCTAGAGGAGAGGCCTAAGGAGCTTGTGCGGAAGCCCTATGTGCTGAACGGTGGGTACAGGCCGTGTTCCTTCAGGTCACCATCCTGCTGTGTCGGAGCTGGAAAGGGCCCTCAGATGTCCTCACCTTGCGGATGGGGAAACCAACGTTCAGAGGGGAGAAGGGAGCTGGTCAAGGGTTCACAAAGTTAGGACTGTGTCCCCAGCTGGGACATTTTCAGTCTACTGACCAAACTCAAGTATGTGAACTAAGGTCAGAGATGTTGAGGGAGGGTGTAGCCAGGTGCCTGAGAGACAGAAAAGAAACCATTAAGTCTCAAGCATGTGATTTTTAGAGATTCTACCATCTCATTAAATGTCTCTAACAAGTCAATTTCATGTCTATTAAGGCTATAGATGCTGAATATTAAAACAGAAGAGAGGCTGGTCCGATGGTAGTGGGTTATCAGAACTTATTCACATTAGTGTCACTAAAGTTGCTATTCAACCCCCCACTGCTAAATTTGACTGGCTTAAAAAAAAAATAAAATAAAAAAAATAAAAAAAAAAAAACAGAAGAGAGTAAACACTGAAGGAAAGTAGGATACTCTAGAGTCCTTTACCTGTCCTTCCCTTTAGCTGTCAGGGAGTTTTTTTTTTGTTTGTTTTTTTTGAGAAAGAGTCTTGCTCTGTTGTCTAGAGTGAGTGCCGTGGCGTCAGCCTAGCTCACAGCAACCTCAATCTCCTGGGCTCAAGCAATCCTACTGCCTCAGCCTCCCGAGTAGCTGGGACCACAGGCATGCGCCACCATGCCCAGCTAATTTTTCTATATATATTAGTTGGCCAATTAATTTATTTATAGTAGAGATGGGGTCTCGCTCTTGCTTAGGCTGGTTTCGAACTCCTGAGCTCAAGCAATCTGCCCACCTCGGCCTCCCAGAGTGCTAGGATTACAGGCGTGAGCCACCGTGCCCGGCCAGGGAGTTTTAAGAGCCCTCCTGAAGGTTAAAGGATATGAATGGCCAGATATCAGATACAGAATTCCTTGAGTTCCTGTCTTTAAATTATCTCATTGGTTCTTCTAAGAACTGCGTAGGATAGGATTGTATATACAAACCTATGTGTACTTATTGTAGTCACAGACAAACATCTTTTCGATTTTCAAAATTTTATTTATTTATATATTCATTTTGAGACAGAGCCTCGCTTTGTTGCCCAGGCTAGAGTGAGTGCCGTGGCGTCAGCCTAGCTCACAGCAGCCTCAAACTTCTGGGCTCAAGCGATCCGCCTGCCTCGGCTTCCCGGAGTGCTAGGATTATAGGCGTGAGCCACCATGCCCGGCTGTAGCTATTTTAAAAGCGAAGCCATTATTGACTCCTGGATTTTTCCCTCACCTGGAGCACTGAGGGGCCTGGGCCCGGCTTCAGTCCCTTGTCTCTGCAGCTTTAGAGTCCACTTATTCAGACCTTTCCATATCATGTATTGGCATAATAGTTCAATAACTGAGGTTCTCTGAGAGTCCGATAGCTGGAAGGGAGCCCAGCCGCATGGACAGGTAATCTCTCTTCATATCTCTCTCTCACTACCTCACACTAATTAGAAGTTTTTAATTTGGTGCGTTCCTTTGAAACTCACTTGCCCAGAGAGAAGTGACTTGCCTTTCAGGCAGTTGCTGTGCTGGCAGATGATTCAATCATGGGAGGCAGAGCCTGGGATCTGAGGGGCTGAAGAATAAGGTTCTGGCAATGAATCTGGGGGTGAGGAGGCAAAAAGACTGTCAGATGGTTGGTGTAGTGCGTCTTACGGCTCAGGAGTGGGTGGCGGGGTGGTTGGACAGCTCACGCAGTGCAGAGACCAAAGCCTTACTCCTTGTCTTCCAACTTCTCTCCCCCCAGACCTGGAGGCAGAAGCCAGCCTTCCAGAAAAGAAAGGAAATACCCTGTCTCGGGACCTTATTGACTACGTACGTTACATGGTGGAGAACCACGGGGAGGACTACAAGGTGAGCGGCTCAGGCCTGGCAGGAAGAACCACTGGGCGGCTGGGATGGTGCCCTGGACCATGTGTGGTGATCTTGCCTAGCAGCTGCTTCCTGAAACTGAGTGGAAAGAAAGGGAGGAAAAAGACTCTAGGGAGTGGATCCTGTTAGCAGGCATCTAACGTGAACAGAAGGCTTGCAGCAGGGACAGACTGAATGGTCTGTTCTCATCCCACTCACAGATAAGTTGTTTTGCTCCATGGTATTTTTCAAAGAACTTGGACTAGTTGCCATGTTAATTATGGGAAGGTTCAAATAAAATTCTGTATTTTTGGCTGCTTTTAAGAATTGAAAGCTCTAGGCTGGGCACAGTGGCTCACGCCTATAATCCTAGCACTCTGGGAGGCTGAGGTGGGAGGATCGCTCAAGACCAGGAGTTTGAAACCAGCCTGAGCAAGAGCAAGACCCCCCCTCCCCCCGTCTTTACTAAAAATAGAAATAAATTAGCTGGGCATGGTGGTGCATGCCTGTAGTCCCAGCTACTTGGAAGGCTGAGGCAGGAGGATTGCTTGAGCCAAGGAGTTTGAGGTTGCTGTGAGTTAGGCTGACGCCACGGCACTCTAGCCCGTGCAACAGAATGGGACTCTGTCTCAAAAAAAAAAAAAAAATTGAAAGCTCTGGCCACACAAAGCCCAGGTGATATTAGTTGGCTGGGGATGGGGCATGGGCTCCTCAGCTGGCCCCAGCTCCTGCCTGGGCCCCTGGACTCTCAGGCCTGCCTGGTGCCTAAGTGCTAAAGGGCTCCACATACACTGTGGCTTTTGAGTGAGGAATCTAGACCTCAGGGATAAGTGGTTTGCCCAGTTCAGCCACAGGTAGGATTATTTGAACCTTTGCCCTTGTAGCCCTCTTCAAGTAGCCCTTCTTCCTTCTTAGGCCATGGCCCGAGACGAAAAGAATTATTATCAAGATACCCCGAAACAGATTCGGAATAAGATCAACGTCTATAAACGTTTTTACCCGGCGGAGTGGCAAGCCTTCGTGGATTCTTTGCAGAAGAGTAAGATGGAGGTTGACTGACAGGTTTGCATCGCACCTGCCCGGGCAGAGCCTCCTGCTGGACCAGTGAAGACGGAGCTGGGTGGAAAGCAAGGCGCGCTGTGTACCTTCAGGGGGGCTGGCCAGACCCCGTGGAATCAGAAGGTCACACATGCACTTGCACTCACACACGTCCCCTCTGGAAGGGACTGTCTCTGCGGTTCCAATTTATATTCAGGAGGTTCACGGGAAAGCCAGAACCTGCCGTTTTCAGAGTGGGTAGTTCATTTGAATATAGTTGTACATAATAAATCAAAGCTATTTTACTTCTCTGATGGTTTTATATTTTCTCCTTCCAGCTGGGTCCTGGGGCTGCCCCAGTAAACCCTCCCCACCAAGGCTGAGAGGCCATCCAGCCCGCAGCATGTGCTGCACTCACGGGCCCCTGGAGGCACAGCCTCGCTCTTCTGGATTGTTCCCTGCCTGTGCTTCCTGCAACAGCAGTTCCATTAACCCTTCTGCGGAAGCTTCCGAGTACCCTGGGCTGCTTGGAAGGGGACTGCCTTGCCTGTGCCAGTCCCGCCCCTGGGCCGAGGCCAGCTGGGCTTGCCTGGCAGAGGGTGAGGAGCAGAACTCCTGCTCTGCCTCCACGGGGGCTGCCCTCTGCATTTCTTTGGGTTGCTTGTGTTGGCCTTGGCCCGAAGTGAATCTGAGGCCCCCAAACCTGCCTTGTGGGACTGTGGTGGGCTACTACATGTCACTATTGTGTGCCAAGTCCTGGCTACACACAGCACGGCCAGCCTTGGGCCAGGCCCGCCTGACTCGGGGGTGTGTGAGGTAGTGATGCCTGTGACATAGTATCATAGGCAGGGTATGGAGTGGGCACTGGACACTTTCTTAAGTGCTGATACTTTATCCCCAACTACTTTTTTTCTTTTTTGGCCAATTAATTTCTTTTGTATTTTTAGTTAGAGACGGGGTCTTGCTCTTGCTCAGGATGGTTTCAAACTCCTGACCTTGAGCAATCCTCCCACCTCGGCCTCCCAGAGTGCTAGGATTACAGGCGTGAGCCACCGCGCCTGGCCTCCACCCCAGCTCTGGTCCCCTGTCAGCCAGAACTCCTTTCAAGGAGGGTGGGAGAGAAGGGTTCAGATGCCCCCCAAAAGGTGTTGAGTTAGGCCAAAGCCTAAGGTTCCTGCCCACCGCTCTCCCTACCCACACGGCTGCGGGACTGGGACTTGCTGATTGACAAGTTACTGTGTCGCTAGGAAGTGTCGTGGGACCACTCTCCACCGCTGCCCCAGCTGGGACAGAGCACACTCAGCACACACTGCTCAAAACACGAATTCAAACGAAACTGCATCAGAGTTTTGGCATTTATTGGGTGCCTCAAACAGCCGTTGACACTGTTTTATGCAGTTTGTCCTTGGCCACCCTGTGGGTTGGGGTCACGGGGCGTCATGGGCTGAGACAAGGCCCCTTTACTGCAGACCTTTGATTGGATCCTCCCCTGTCCCTTAATGGGTCCCTTTTTGAGAAGCAGCAGACAGGAGAAGTTGGAGGTCCCCCGTCACAGCTACTAGAAAGGACGTGGTGTTCAAAACCCTACGCCCGAGGACGTGTGTGCAGACGGCAGACACGAGGGCAGGTCTGGGGCGGCCAGGACGGCAGCTGGGGAGTTGCAGCAGCCCATCAGAAGGCCGGCCATTCCTAAACTAGCATAGCAACGCAGTGTTTTGGAAACGGTTTTTGGAGAATCTGGTGTCTCATTCAGGCAAGCGTCGTCAGATTTTCGTCAGCTAGTCTCCGTGAAATGCCAGGAGGCTGGGAGGGCTGGCTGCCCTCACAGCCGAACACCACGGCGTCAGCACAGGTTTCAGACCTGCAGTTCTGGGCAGCAAGAGTAACCACAGGTGGCTTCCTTGGAGGGCAGCCAGCCCAAGGTGGTTCCTTCAGTGGCCTCAAGAACCCTCTCGTCCTGCCCATCCGACCGTCCAGGGTCCGGGCCAGGGTGGCCTTTCCTCAAAGGGATGGCATTAGGACAGAGGATGGGAAACTAAGAACCAGTTTCATTTAAGTCACCTAAGAACAAAAAACACCAGCACTGGCCGGGCGCGGTGGCTCATGCCTGTAATCCTAGCACTCTGGGAGGCCGAGGCAGGCGGATTGCTCGAGGTCAGGAGTTAAAAACTAGCCTGAGCAGGAGCGAAACCCCGTCTCTACTATAAATAGAAAGAAATTTACTGGCCAACTAATACATATAGAAAAAATTAGCCGGGCATGGTGGCTCATGCCTGTAGTCCAGCTACTCGGAGACTGAGGCAGGAGGATCGCTTGAGCCCAGAGTTTGAGGTTGCTGTGAGCTAGGCTGACACCACGGCACTCACTCTAGCCTGGGCGACAAAGCGAGACTCTGTCTCAAAAACAAAAACAAAACAAAACAAAAAAACCAGCACTAGGGGAAGGGTCCAGGCAAGTACACGGGAGAACAGCGGAGACTCCGGTGTGAAGAGTGGACACAGGAAGGGCAGCTCCCTCAGACCCGCAGCCTGCCCTCCAGCATCTGTGTAAGAACACGAGAGCTGCCCGGACGCTGACCCTCGGCTCACGCCCCGTTAGCTCGTCAGCGTGGTTTGTGAGTCTCCTGTTGAGGAGTGAGTTTCAGCTTCTTGGTATTACGCTCCTGAGCGCCATCGTCAGGGCCTCACCGACGTGTGGCAGCCTTACATACTCATGTGCAGCCATCCTTTGTTCCTCAAAGGGTCTCGTTTCAGTTAGAATTAGGAAAACATAAAGACACAAAGAATCACCTAAGGTAACATTGTAAACTTTGAATTCCATACTGAGATCAAACAAGTCCATTACGATGGTGGCAGGAGGTGGTGTCAGCCCATCAAGATTGAGAGGCTGACCAAAAGAGGGGGACGTCACTAAACTGAATTAAGTTTGGCCTAAAGCTGCCTCTGTACACCATGAACTGTAAACTCGTCTAAAAGTGCCCTCTTGGAGCAAGTGGTCAAGTTTTACTGATCATAGCAGCGAACCTTGGGACAATGGCAGGCTGGGCTGCCAGACACACCCAATAATACATGGCTATAAATGCATCCTGCACACATTGTGGAACGGGACATTCCGAACTGCTTCGGGTGCTGAGTGGTGCCCGATTCATGAACTTTCTGCTAAATTAAACTCCATTAAAGTTAAATTGTCTAAGGTCTTTTAAGGTTTTTCTTTAAGCAATGGAGAATAAAGCAGGAGTTCACAGAACAAATAAGTACAGTTTCTTACCCTTCCAATGACAAAGTGAAAAGCTGCCAGCAAGGTTTCAAAGGCTACTCTAAAACCCAAGTCGTTCCCTACATTTTTAATATAAAAGCAGATAAATCATTTCTTACTGCAGAGAGTGAATCAGCATTTCAAAGAACAGTGACTCTGCTCCGATGTACCTGCAGCCCAAGAGCCCAGCTGTCCACTCTTCCAACCTTCACGCTCTGGACTTCGGAGCCTCCCACCCACCTGCCCGCTCGGTGCCTCTTCCAGCACTGGCCGCGGAATGGAACTGATGCATTCCAGGTACATGTCACAGGAAACGAAGGCACGCAATCTGTTCTCGATTAGAAAGCAAGTTGAGCTGGATAGTCAGTCACTCTTAAAAAAAATCCATTTGTGGCTGTGGATTATTTGGTGGCCCTGACAGACAGCAGGCTCTTTCCTTTGCTGTACCAACACTGAGGGTCGATACAGACAGTCCTTAAACTGGCTTGTCACCAGCCACAGGAGAAACACGGAATGTGCACTGACGAGAACCCCAGGAATTCAGTCCATCTTTGCTTTTGCTGGGGAATAAATGGGTCCAAGAAGGCTGAATGGTGTGCCCAAGGCCACCTTATTGGCTGGTCTGCTAGTCCTGTCCTTTGGAGTCACATGAAGAAAAACTCTTTTTCCTGGGAGGCCGAGGCGGGTGGATCGCTCAAGGTCAGAAGTTCGAAACCAGCCTGAGCAAGAGCGAGACCCCGTCTCTACTATAAATAGAAAGAAATTAATTGGCCAACTAATACATATAGAAAAAATTAGCCGGGCATGGTGGAGCATGCCTGTCGTCCCAGCTACTTGGGAGGCTGAGGCAGCAGGATTGCTTGAGCCCAGGAGTTTGAGCTTGCTGTGAGCTAGGCTGATGCCACAGCAAAAAAAAAAAAAAGAAAAGAAAAGAAAAACTCTTTCATCCTTGTTTTCATAGTTTTAATTATTTCTTAAATTTCTTTTAATGTTTACTTTTTTCATTATTTCTTTGCCATAACTTCAGCAGGAATCTTTTTCATCTTTTTACCTGGATTCACATGACAGAAAATTCCTCTCCCAGGATCATTTGTTGTCTACAGAAGAGGCCTGAGTCCCTTCAGCGTTTGGCAGAGTTTCAGTTCACGGGAAGCGACGTGAACTGTCACAATATCAATCACAGCCTCAAAGGCTAGGGCTGGTGAGGGGAAGCCTACGGTTTTGTCTCCATTGACAACCGTAGGTTATCTCACTGTCCTTCATGATTCCAGCTATTTTCCTCAAAGTTCCAAGTTTTCTATGACAATCATCTGGGGTTTTGATAACAGCACCTAGAAACAAAGCCTAGAACCTTGGCCTGTTCTTCTTATAAATAAATAAATAAAATGCAGCTCTGACGCTGACACGCCCAGGTACAGCTGACGTCTTCTTCCCAGGGACAAGAGCGCCTTCCTCTCCCAGACTTACGTAAACACGGGCATTGGCACGGTTAGCACACGCACAGCTACTTGTCTCCAGGCTAAGGAAAAGAGAACCACCAGGCTTCGCTTGTCCTGTTTGGCGGATGGATACCACTCACCCCGTAGGCAAGTGCGGCTGGCAGGCCAGGCCCTGGCTCAGGGGAAGCAGGGAGTCTTCAGAAAGCTCCTTGCTGGGATTTCGGGGTTCATCCCGGCACTGCATACATATCTCCATGGCTGGGAAATGCATCTCCAAACTAGGAAAAACCATGGGAATCACCTCCTTTTGAAAATGATGGCCCGAGGGCCAGAGAGGCAGAGGCTGCACAAGCCAGGCAGGCAGGCAGAGCTGGGGCTGTACAGTGCAGGACTGGTGCAAGGGCTCACTGCGGACCACCCAGAACCCGCCCACGTGGGAGGAGGGAACAGTCTAGACTGGGGGACCTTGGGGCTCCAGGAGTATTTCTGATACCTACACTGGTTCTTCCACCGCAAGGACCGGCAGGGAGGGGAGGATCGAACCCGCGGAGCGTCTCAGTGTACAGACAAGAGAAGGGATCCACCTTCCGGCTGGAGCGAGCCAGACACCCCCCTCCCCGACTGTCTCGCCCACCTCCTCGGGAAGGCATCTGCACGGTGCTCGGCCTCGCCCGGGCCCTGCTCTTGAGAGGGCAAGACGGGGAGGAGGGAAGTGCTGCCACCCGGCTCTTGCCCCAAGCCCAGGCTGGTGCCAAAGCAGCAGCTTCGACCTGTGGCCCCAGGGCTGGGGTTGAGGACGCCGACTCCCGCCTAGGAGAGAAGCTCCAAGAGCAGCTTCCAGATGTGCACGGTGCCGGGTTCCCCCGCAGGCCCCTCGGGGGCGATGCTGGCTCCCAAGAGGAAAACCTCCCGCTGGCTGTTGACAGCCTGCAGGCCCAGCTCCCGCTGCAGCTCCACCACGCTCACCGCCTCGCTCAGGTCCTGGCGGGACACACAGAAGGCGGTCAGAACACAGGTGTCAGCGTTTCCCGGCACTCCGGGCTGTCGCCCACCAATACACTGTTCTTAGGCCACCCCGGGAAACAGTAGGGCGCAAGTGGCCCTTGGTCTGAGCTCGCTGTTCTCTCCCTGATCTCTGACTCTCCACTGCATCGTCAGCTGCAGGAGAGCAGGAGACAGAGCGCTTCCTGTGTGCCAGGTGTGTGCCAGGCACCTGTATACCTGGTCTGACTTAATTCTCACAGCCCACACTTAACCGGCGAGGGAATTAGCTCAGGGGGTGAAGTCGTCAAGCCAAGGAGACAGTGGGAAGTGGCAGAGTCAGGTCACCACTCAGGCTGGTTTGACAGGCAAGCTTTCGGTCCCTATAGGAACCCCAGCTCCGTTTCCTAGACTCGACAGTGGGGAGGTCACACACAGGGTCACTTCCAGACAGGAAGCCAGCCGGAGGGAAAGGCCACCGCGCAGCACGGCTGGCGATGGCACATCTCAACTGCAACCCTGGCCCAAGATTAAAATGGTTCTTCTTGGAGCAATTCACAGAATACTGGGCCTCAGGTGTTGTCTCCTGTAGGTTCAAAACTGCTATAAAGTAGTTTATTTATTTGAGGCAGAGTCTCACTAGTGCCTGGCTTCAGCCTAGCTCACAGCAACCTCAAACTCCTGGGCTCAAGTGATCCTCCTGCCTCAGCCTCCGAGTAGCTGGGACTACAGGCATGCACCACTATGCCCGGCTGATTTTTTCTGTGTATTTTTAGCTGTCCAATAACTTCTTTCTATTTTCGGTAGAGACGGGGTCTCGCTCTTGCTCAGGCTGGTTTCGAACTCCTGAGCTCAAACGATCCACCCACCTCAGCCTCCCAGAGTGCAGGATTATAGGCGTGAGCCACCGCGCGCCGGCCTATAAAGTAGGTTAAAATAGGGATATATTGTCCAAACTAGGGAACTTCTGAGGCTCAAAGTGGGCACTATTAAGAGTTATACCACAGACCGGGCTCGGTGGCTCATGCCTGTAATCCTACCACTCTGGGAGGCCGAGGCAGGAAGATCACTCGAGTTCAGGTATTCAAAACCAGCCTGAGAAAGAGCAAGAACCCATCTCTGCTAAAAAAAATAGAAATTAGCTGGACAACTAAAAAATACATGCATATAAAAAAAA